TGCCTATGTACATGAGGTTTGGGTGACCTCTGATGGTGAGTGTGTGTGTGTGTGTGTGTGTGTGTGTAACATGGTGTGTGTTGGCATGTGTAGTGTGTATATGTGTGTGGTATGGTATGTAGTGTGTGTGTGTGTGTGTGTGTGTGTGTGCTATGTATATGTGTGTGTGTATGCTTATGCTGTATGTGTATTTTCCCTTGGACAATGCTTAGCAGTATCTTCTCTCCACTGTAACAACCAAAAAATGTCTCTGGTCTATGCCGGAGGTCCTAGGGGGGCAAAATCTTCCTGTTGAGAACTAATGATTACAGCACATAAAACTGGGTGAACAACTGCTTCGCACACTTCTCCCAGGCATCAAGACCACCATCTCCTGCCACTGCCTTGTCCCTTAGATCGTGTGGTCCTCCTCCCCTAGGTTCTGGCTGCTGACTCACTTCTGTGCTTCCACTGCTGAGCGCAGTGCTTGCGTACACAGTAAGCGCCTACTGGGTAGAGCACTAATTTAGGGTAAGATAGTTGCAATTGTCCCGAAGGACTAAGATAAGAAAGGGCATCCATAAGGGTTATTGAAGATCCAGTACACAGATAGTTTAATCTCCAAACTAATAAGAAGCAGCCTCTGGAAATGAGGTGGTTAACGGGAAAGATAATCCACTTGCCACAGAAACTTCCTTACTTCATCACAGACGACTAAAGTAAAACCATCTGAACCAAAGCCAACGCCTTGCTTTATTTGTAAGGAAATTTCTCTCCTGGCCACCATTTGTCTTTGTCCGTCCTCTCACTCATCTCGGTTGATTTACAGTGATAGGATCATGATTCTGCTGGAGAGTGACCTGTCAGAAAGAAGAAACCCAGGCAAGGCAGAGGTGTGGATGGTAAGAAACTTGGATTCTGCCATGGTTGGGTTTTGAGACAGCGTCTTATGTAAGCACGAAGAGGTTTATGAATAGAGATTCTGTTCTGTCAGCATAAGACAGGCTGATGTGTGGTCAGTATCGAGAGAAGGTGCAAGTCTAATGAGCAGAGTGGACGTGCCACCCAGAGAGCTGGGGAGATAGGCAGAAGCATGCTCGTGTCCATTAGTGAATGGTGTCACGGAAAGAGTCTAACAGTGAGCTCCCCATTCGTAAGAAACCCCATGCTACACCAGTGAAACCTAATTTTGTTGAGTCTTCCTTGAGCTGGGTGTGATTCTGTAGAGTTTCTGAAAGGGCACACATTGACAAGATTTTTACAGATGACTCAAGCCTTTAAAACATAATCATCAAGTGTTGAATACATTAATCAAAAATCTACAGGGTGGGGAGACTGCATAGCTATGCAACTTATGCTAATGAGCCTTGCTCACCACATTGAAACTTATTTTGAGAATAGAGTTCGTGTGAAAAGAAAGGAACCCTGCCATGTTCATGCAAATAATATTCCTTGAATGATTCTATCTCCATAGGGAACACTGACCTGAAATGGATCAGAATATCATCACCAATGACATGCAGGCCTAGGGTGAGTATTGGGATGTCTATATTAAGAGTATTAAGTGTTATATATTTTATTAAAAATAAAAACCTATTATGTATCTAGCACATTTTCATTTACAAGATATTTCCATAAAATCATCAGATGTTTCTTTTGATACTCTCTTAGGTCAGCACATAGAACATTCCTATCTGGTTTGTACAGGGATTACAGAGGTTCAGAAGCTCATGTGACTGCCAAGTTTAACAGTTGACAATGCTGGGCTCAGAATCTTGACAAAAGGATATGTTATTATCAGAAAGATTCATGTTCTAATCCATGGTCTGAAGAATGCAATGATAATCAGAAAGGGCATGAATTCTTTAACCTGATGCCTGGCTCACAGTCAGTCCTCAGCAAATGTAAATTTTTGTGCCTTCTAGTCTCCTTCAAAGGCCCAGGATCCCATAAGTCACACTATTTAGCTTTCCCAAGCCTCCCCTGACCAGCTCATCATCTGTTACCATGTGTTGGAGAAGGAGACCTGGGCGTATGTCTGTGAGTTAGGTAGTGCCCTCCTCATGCCATGTCCTCAGGGTCTCCTTTCACTCACTTCTTCCTGCCGCCTCATCCCTACATTCCAGGTTTGCCTCTCAGTGGAGACAGAAGCCTTGGAAGGTAGCAGAAGGGGATCCTCCATCATGTCCTTGAAATAGCGTGTATCTGTGGGAAGAGAAAGCTGGTAAGCGTGTACCTTGTAGGTTGGCTAGATTGGGCACATTTCAGCTTACAAGGTACTCACACATCCTCACACTCATAGAGTCACCACAGCTCAGGTGCCAGGCAAGCAATTCTTTTTCGAGGGGTGGGGTGGGATTCAGAGAAGAGGGTAGAAGACAACTTTTGTTACAGCATATCGTATGGGCTCTCAAGAGTAAGAGTGGGCAAAGATCAAAGGGACAATTGTGGAAGACAACACTCTCTAGTGTATAGTGGGGCCAGAGGGATCACAAAACCCAAACCTCTTGTAGAGGCATGCAGTCCCACCTGTACCTGCCAGAGGAGGAAGCTGAGGCTCATGGCAGACCTGCTTGCTTTGGTTCACAGCAATCCTACTAAGGATGGCCTTGACTGCCCTTCATTCTTTTACCCCACTGAGACATGCTACTAGCTCTTAAAGATTTATGCTATGCCACCTACTTTTAATTTTTTCCTTTCTATTTGTCTATCTATCTATCTATCTATCTATCTATCTATCTATCTATCTATCTATCTGTTTTGTTTCAGACAGAATCTCACACCATGGCTCAGGGTGGTCTGAAACTCACTATGTAGCTCGGGTTGGTCTCAAACTTGTGGCTAATATCTTGCCTCGTGGGTGCAAATACATACACGAGCCAGTACACCTGTCCCTGGAGCTTACTGCCAAACCCCACTCACTTCCACCTCTTTATTATGTTATGATCTTATAGAATTTTCCTGTTGTTTATTTATCTCTCAATAAGTTTTAGAATGGTGACGAGCTCGGTAGATATTCAGTCAACGCTTTTGAGTACTGAATATAAGGGAATCGTTATCATGATTGTTTGTTGCTTTGAGTTAAGCTCTCACCATGCAGCTCAAGCAGGCCTTTAACTTGGGATCCTTCTGCCTCAGCACCTGAAGTGCGACGGTTAAGGATGTGTGTCACCTTACCAGTTTGTCAGCATCACTTACGGGACACTTCACCCTGAAGAAGTTTCTACAGATCCATTTCTGTGAGCCAGGCCCTCAGAAACCACATGTGCTTCCTCCTTGCCTTTACAGTGGCGTGGACAACCTGTGGACACTTCTGTATGTACCCCAGGTGGGAAAAGGCATGGATGGGTACAAAGTCAGCCTCCCTCCCTCCTGTTGGGTGAGACTTTACTACTGAGTCCATTGTAGGCTGGCAACCTGCAGAGTCAACCAACTGAGTTAAAGTTCTCGCTTTCCCTACTCTCCCCCACCACGCCTAACCTCACATGCCTCACACGCTTGTCTTCCCGCCTCTCCACTTCTCCCATGCTCCCCGCACAGGGACAGGCCTAAGGCTCAAGCAGAGCCTGCCCTGACAATGACAGTAAGTGGGAACAGAGTTTGTTTGACTCCATATGTCACACATACAGTCTTCAGAGAAGCTCTCTGGGGTTAGTTCTACTGTGACACCTGTGTTCCGACAGAAAAACCGAGCTCTACAGAGTGATGTTGCCGCATGGACGCATATCATCTGAGCCCCACGGTACCTGCGTATTCTGACTCCTGTATAGGTCTGGCTGGTAAAATTTTCATCAACGGCCATGCCTTAAGCAGCTGGAGCTCCGGGTCTTCATAGTCATTGTCACTGTAGCATTTTTCTCCATCCAGGACAGCAGCCAAGTTCTTTCTCTAAGTGGGTGGAACATTGGAGTAAGTTCAAAGGTAGGGCCATGTGGACAAAGGTGACATGTCTCAGTGCTGGCTTAGGGAGTGATGCTGACTCTTTTGAAGTAGACTTTAAGATTCTAGGGTCTAGGATCTTACATAGAAACGTAATTCTTGTCATAGAGAGATTTCTGAAGATGTCTTCCAAATATCCTATTCTCTTTGCTCATTCAGTCAAAGACCTGTGTTGCGCTGTTGTGAGAGCATAGGGCAGATAGAAGTTGTTTAATGAACTGACTTTAAAACACAGAAGATTCAGCCAGACAGTGGTGGTGCATGCCTTAATCCCAGTACTTGGAAGACAGAGGCAGGTGGGTCTCTGAGTTCAAGGCCACGCTGCACTATAGAGGCAGCCAGGGCTACAAGGAGAAACCCTGTCTCAAAATTCCAAAAAATCCAAACCAAATCAACCAACCAACCAAACAAACAACAAAACCAAAAACAAACAAACAAAAATTCAAAACCACCGAAATCCAAACCAAACCAAACCAAAACCAAAACAAAACATAACACCCCCCCCAAAACCTACCCAACCCAACCCAAACCAAAGCAAAAAACCTCCCCAACAACAATAATAACAAATAAATAAACAAATAAATAAACAACAAAACCTAAAGAGGATTCTAGGTCACCTGGGTGGGCTCAATGTTTCCATGAGCCCGGGAAAGCAGAAGGGGATTCAGTTTGTCAATGTAGTGATGTTTTGTGTGGAAAATCAAGAAAATGAGTACTGCTTAGGGCTAATAATAAAGAGTCGAGCAAGGATATATGGTCAATCCCATTCAAAGTTCAGTTTGTATGCAATGATAATATTGATTAGTTTTTTTTTAAAGTAAATTACTCATAACAATCTGAATTAGAAAAGAAGAAATGACAGAATAATATTAAGAAGAATAAAATCCTTGAGTATAGAAGTGAAGCTTGTACTGAAGAGTCTGAAGGCACGCTGCTGGAGATCATGTAAAAAGATGTTAGTGAATGGGAAGTGGCCATTGTTCATGAATTGAGGACTTATTGTTAAAACAGAATTCTTTAAAAACTGATGTACCTGTTCAGTAGGATTCATATAAGAATACAAGCTGCATTTCAGGGTAAATTGACAGAAAATTTTATAAAAATTAGGAACAGAAAAAAAATTAGAAACATATGCTCTAATTGCTATGAAAATACCACACCCCACTCCACTGACATCCATGAACCAAGGGAAGGATACCGAATATGCCTGCAGTCCTTGTAAACCCTTTAGTACCTTGGTTTCGGATATTTTTGAATTCCAGGGCTGAGGTAAAATCAGGACAATGACAATGAGCTGGATTCAAGCCACTTAGGCCATGTCATTTTGCTAGGATAGCCCAAGAAGGCTGACAGGTGTCCTTATCACAGCTCTGGGGACTGAAGCCTGGAGATGGCAGGAAGGGAACTAGGTCATAGCACGCTCCATAACTACTCCTGAGTGTGCACCTTCAGGCTGGGTTTGCAGCCAGCAGCTGCTCTGTGTAAGCTGGGACCTGGCAATCATCACGAAGAGCCCCTAGGAGTCGCTTTTACTCCCTGGATCTCAGAACGCCCAACTTTATCTAGAACTGATGTTAGTCTTCATTTGAGACTAAAGGAGAAATCCAGGTGACAGGATGGAATTACGTTTGTAAGGTCTGAGAACTGCAGTGCAAGGCCTGGAACCCCAAAGGGCAAAGAAATATCTGTTTTCATGCACACTTCCCAGGTAGGGCCTCAAAATATGGAAACTTCATTTTACAAATACACAGACTCATGTTGGTAATCCAAAGTCACACAGGTTTAAGGGGGCAAAATCTTTTCAGCACCTCCACCTGACCCAGCACCTGGATTAAATATTATTTTTTATCACAAGATGAAGGGTAGAGAGTCCAGGGCAGCATATAGGTGGCTCACTACCCAGTCAGCACAAAGGTGGACGGATTCTGTGAGCGTGAGTGTGGCCCCTTACTCGGTGGAGAGGATTCTGTGCTTCACAGATGGGGCAAATTCTTTTTTTTTTTTTTTTTTTTGGATTCTTAACATTTTGTAGTCAAAGGTTTAAAAAAAAAAAAGCGTAAAATTGAAGTTGTCGCTTGATAGCCTTGACTGTGTTTGTGGCTTTCCATAGTAGATTCTTGGTAAATAAAGTTATAGATTTTAATAAGGCTGAGGATATAATTATTCCTCGGGGTGTGATTTTAAAATATTTATGTTGTAATTTGTCGAGTTATTAGGGTTCGGTTTAATTCACTTTTGGGTCGGATGGCCAGATGCGCACTCTAATGGGTGAGGAGAGTAATTAATTACAATTACATGTATTTATCAAATGGGGAAGCCGGAGTAAGACTGCTCATCCACAAAATCCCTCTCCTCTCCGTTACAGTTCCTGCTACTGCTCTCAGAGAATGTTGGGAGACTGGGGGAGGAGCAAGCCTGGCTGGCAGCACTCTCTTGCTTCTCTCTGGAAAGATAGAGAGGAGTCACGGAGAGGGGTGCGGGAGCCCGGGGTGCGGGGAGGTAGACATAGGGCAGGAGAAGCCAGGCCCATCTGAGGAAGACTCTCCGGGCTCCCATGGTCTCACAACAAGGGCACAGAGCACGGATTGCTAAGTATCGTTTTCCACTGAAAAGCTAGAAGATGCGGTGTGTGAACAGCTTTACGTTTCAGTGCGCCTGTCTACATCCTCAATAAGTGCTCCCCAAGGAAAGCCCAGTCAGGCCGTGTGTGAGCTGAAGACTCAGGGACCAGTTATTACGATCAGGTTTAACAGAGCCTGTGGTACCCAAGCTGGAGCAGGGTGGAAGACCACAGCTTTCTCACCCACAGGAGAGGGGCTAAATCACCCGATACAGAGCTGGGTGGTGGCATTGGAGCTGTTTTTCAGAGACCAGGCATCACGACCTGCTGTCGGTTTCCTTGTTGTGTCCTTGGAGATAAACTGGGCTGAGATGGGACATTTTGCTTGGGAAAGTATTGGTGACAGCATGGCTGTGTTGCCACTGTGTCCTAGACCCAAGTCGTAGAAGCCAAGCTGGTTCTGACAACAGTGGGGGGGGGGGTGCTTCTTTTCCCTGACGCAGGTGGAGGCTACTAAACCAGTTTATTTGTCCAGAAACGGAAGATTTTTGGCATTTGTCCAATGACGGGGGCCCTGCACATTAGATACTCTTCTCTGGCTGATGTCTTGAGTGAAGCAGAGCCAAGTGCTCAGAGCTTAGTGAAACTATTAATGAATGACACAGTGCAGGGTTGGGTGAGCATGGGTTCCAGAGTCACAGCTGGAAATGAGTTTGGGGAGGAGGTGCAGGTCTGGGCTCCTGGGAGGAGGCAATGGATAGAAGGAAATTACTAACGGGTACCTTTGGTGGCCTGTAGGCTACTTTCAGTATTTTCTAGTCAAAGCTTGGGACCTACTAGAAGAATCAAATACACAAGCTAGAGTCAGTTTGTTATTTCATCCTTTGGCTAGTGTTCATGGGGGCAAGAGGTGGCAGGAAACAGAGTCATGGTCGCTGTGACCTAGGAATGAAGAGAATGTACACTGACTTCTAACTCACTGGCCATAGGAGTGACCACGTTTCTCTATATTCTTAAGGGGACTTGGTTTTAAATATAACCAGTAACATCTGTCTCTAACTTATTTTCCATTACATTTCTCTGTTCAGGACTCCAGACTTCAGGTCTGATATTTTTACCCATGAACCAGTTACAAAAAACAAACATTATGTGTGTGTGCGCGCGCATTCATGTGTATGTGTGCTCATGGGTAACGGTCCATAGCTTTAGTTAATAATTTAAGAGCATATTCAAATAGTAACAAGCCAATTTTTCAGATATTATCTACAGCCATATAAAGTATGTAAATTATATGAATACATAATTTAGCATAACTACTAATGGTTGATATTTGGGCTAGTGTTTAAATTTTTAATCTTTTTCTTTAATTGTTAAAATTCTGCCCAGTGCTTCTAGTAGCTTCACAAAATGGTCACATGTCCTACAATTTCTATACTACCAAATGCTTAGTGTGATTTCAACATGCTGTTATTTAAACTATGTTGCAAAGTATCAGTGAGCTGGTTGAAATTTTGGTCTGAAAGGCATGCTGCTTCTCTGTTTGAAACTCTCAAACATGGAATTCTAGGACTCAAAAGAAAGGGGTATTTTTATATTATTAAGTGAATATCATCCTAAAATTACATTCCAAAGACTTCGCTTAAATTTAGAATTTCACCATGAGTGTTTCAAAGTGCCTGTCTCTGTTTCACACTCAGCAGCACTGTATATTAATATTTCACCTCTGTCTGCTTTAGCAATGACTGTTAGCATCAGAAGAGGGGACTGAAAGGCAGTTTTCCTTACCAGGAGAGTACACCACTTGGAAGAATTATTTCTTTCTTTTAAATTTACCGTGTGACATACAAAAGGGACCCAAACAACAACACTTGCTTTGTAAAGATCAGAGACTGACAGTTAAGGAACATAGCAACACCAGACTTACGTGATCCGGAAATGGTTCGAGAGCCACCTGACACCGCCCTGCCAGAAAACACAGATCACTTATTACTGCAAACACAGTGCCAGCTCACAGCACTCAGAAGCCTGGCTCTCCTCATTTCATCTAGCAATCCTGTGTGCATTTCAATTCATTTTTGTGAGCACAGTGTGATTCTCACATCTCTTAGTCCAGCTGTTGATCGTGTAGAACAGAGCATGGGAACCAGGTACAGAAATTCAACCCCAACTCAGGGTAGCTCTGGAGGCAAGAAACTCTTCCCACAGCAGGTCAGCCTTCTCTCAGAAAGAGACCTAAATGCCGGTGCAGGGGCACACCCCTGAGATCTTATCACTCAGGAGGGAAGGTGGAGGCAGGGAGGTGACAAATTCAAGGCTAATCTAGTTGCACAGTGTGACCCTGTTGTAAGAAACAATTGTGGCCTGTGAAAAAAAGCACTGCGGACAGAGACTGAGCACAGTCCTAGAACCAACAAGGCCCTGGGTCAGTCTGCATCACTGAGGTGAGAACAGCAAACAGGGCTGAGGAGATGGCTCAGTCAGAAAAGTGTGTGCCTTGCAGGCCGGAAGATTTGACCCTGCATGGTGATGACTGCTTGTAATTCCAATGTCCTGAGTTGAGGTGACAGAGGGGGAGGGGAAGGGGAAAGGGGAGATGTTGGGGTGAGGGTGGAGACAAGCAGATCTCTGGCACTTACTGGCCAGTCAGCCTAGTAAGTGAACTTCAGGCCAGTGAGAGACCCTGTGGCAACAAAACAAAGCAAAGCAAAAATGGTGTATGCATTCTGAGGTGTTCTCTGGGTTCCTCACACATGAGCTCACACGCAAACACAAACATGTCTTTTCCACACTGCGCAAACTGGGGAATAGAAATCAGTAAACAAGCGAGAAAATGGGAGAAATGATGGAGGAGGACACTGCAGCGCCTGCCCCTGAAGTGAGAAGCCGAGGCTGTGGAGGAGGCTCCCCCAGCACTATGGCACTGCACAGCATGTTTTCAGAGCGTTGTCTGCCTGTGCAACCCCTTCGTGGGCACAGCTACTGCCTCTTCATGATTCTGTCCCCAGCCCTAGGCACATGTCCCAACATCCAGAAATCTAGCCACTGCATTTTTTTTTTTGTTAGACCATTATAGTTCAGTTGAGGTTTCTCTCAGCTCCCCCATTTGAAAATGGCTCCCACACTTATGAAAGTGGCTTAGCTCATGCAGCCCACTCAGTATGCTGTTCTAAATTTCCTTCCAGATTATACAAAACCACTCTTGAACTGCTCACACGAGTGGAGAACCCAGTTCCTCCAAGACTGAATGTTCCTTAGCTAAGTGGTAGTGTTGGAGGTATTAGTCTGTGTGGAGGAATGTAAATGAGACCATATTTTTAAAATCACATCTTCTATATTAGCATACATGCGAGACATTTCCTTAGGCTCCAGGGACAGAAACTGTGAGCTTCTTAGGAATGAGTTCACTTTGATTCAGTGGCAAGCACTGTTTCTAAAGATGCATGCTGTGCCTTTTACTTTTGGTTGCTAGGAACTTCAGGACTCCTTATGTGTGGTCATCCTGTCACTGTCCCACACAGCACTGCTGGGTCTCACTCCTACCCAGTTCCACTGCTCCTGGGTTTCCCAGATGTGCTTCTCCGCATGTTACCTCTGTATCCATTGCTATCTGATGCCCTTGCTTTTTGGAGCTTCCATCCTGGACTATGCGGGCCTCATTAATCTCACTAAAACTCCTACGTGACACTCACAAAGACAGGCAGCATGCAATGAATTCCTTGTTGCAAGTCTACCTGTCTTTTTTATAATTTATTCACTTGGTATCCCAGTAGTAGGGCCCTCCCTCATCCCCTCCTAATCCCACTGCCTCTCCCTCTTCTCCTCCCATGTCCCTTCCCCAGTCCACTGATTCGGGGGTCCTTCTCCCCTTCCATCTGACCCTAGCCTATCAGATCTCATCAGGACTGGCTGCACTGTCTTCCTCTATGGCTTGATAAGGCTGCCCCCACTCCCTCAGGGGGAGGTGATCAAAGAGCCAGCCACTGAGTTCATGTCAAAGACAGCCCCTGTTCCCCTTACTAGGATACCCACTTGGACACTGAGCTTTCACAGGCTATCTCTGTGCAGGGGGTCCAGGTTATCTCCATGCATAGTTCTTGGTTGGAGTATTAGTCTCAGAAAAGACCCCTGGGCCCAGAGTTTTTGGTTTTGTTGCTCTGTTTGTGGTGCTCCAGTCCCCTCCAGGTCTTTTATCTCCTCCTTCTTTCATAAGATTCCACGCACTCTGCCCAAAGTTTGGCTATGAGTCTCAGCATCTGCTTTAATGCCCTGCTGGATAGAGTCTTTCAGAGGCCCTCTGTGGTAGGTTCCTGTCTTGTTCCTTGTTTTCACCCTCTTCTGATATCTATCCCATTTGGCTTTCTGAATGAGGCTTGAGCATCTTACCCAGGGTCTTCCTTATTGCTTAACTTCTTTAGGGGTACAGATATGTTTATTCTATATTATATGTCTAATATCCACTTATAAATGAGTATATACCATGTGTGTCTTTCTGCCTCTGGGATACTTCACTCAGGATGATCTTTTCTAGTTCCCCCCCATTTGCAGCAAATTTCATGATTTCCTTGTTTTTAATTGCTGAGTAGTATTCCATTGTGTAAATGGAATCCATTTACTCAGTATCCATTCCTCAGTTGAGGGACATCTGGGTTGTTTCCAAATTCTGGTTATTACAAATAGAGCTGCTACGAACATGGTTGAGCAAATGTCCTTGTTGTATACTTGAGCATATTTGGGATATATGCCTAGGAGTGGTATAGCTGGATCTTGAGGTAGTATTATTCCTAATTATCTGAGAAAGCACCAGACTGAATTCTAAAGTGGTTGTACAAATTTACATTCCCACCAGCAATGGAGGAGTCTGCCCACCTCTGAATGTGCCACAGCAAAGGCATGTGGGATTTCCCTGGATCCACTGGATACTTGAGGCCTGCTGGGCTCCTGGCCACATGGTGCTGTCTGTAGTCAAGAGTCCAAGTTCTGGTCAATGTTATTTAGGAAGAGAATCACTTCACAGCTGCCAGGATCCTTTCTTTAGTTGTGACTCACTTCTGAAGTTGCAATAAGACGGAGGAATGTTTGGCTACGAGAAACCTCTCAGAAGCAGAGATACCCACAGGCTCTTGGCAGGTTATTTCTGGATTTGCCTTATGTAAGAAAAAAATATAACAACTGTTTCTCATGGTTGAGCCTCTGTGAAGTTTTCACATGTCTTGCAGCCTTTAATGTTTTAGGTCCTTGGAGATGTGAGCTTTTGAGTTTGCCAGTAACATAAAAACACCACTAACCAAAGTTGGGGGGAAAGGCAAACAACATTTCAATGAAGGCTAAAAGGATGTTCTACGTTTAAATCCTGATCTGTCACTTTCTGATCACATGGGCTTGGGCGAATACCCTCATGTATGACCATGGTTAAATGTATGACTAACGTCACTCTGTGGAATGGTTCAACAGTATGTATCCCAAATGGCTGCTGGCAAGTTTTAGTCTGTGTCATCAAGGTAGAAAATCACTTCCCAGCTTCCAGACAGCAGCACACGGTTTCTTGGCTCAGTTCCCATGAACATTGTGCTGGCTTCTGCGTTTGTCTTCAAGTTCAGCCCTATAGCTGGGGTTTTCTCACCCAGCCCGAGTCTACAGCCCTGCTTTCAGTTCCAGCCTGAGAGCTTGTACCCTTTGTTGCTTATTTCAAAGTCATGCTTGTGTGGCTTTCCTAGCATTCAACTCCACTGACATCCAAATGCTGGTCTTCCACAGATATTCTTCAAGCCAGATCCTCCTCAGTAGTGATGCTCAGAGATTCAGTGGCCGCTAATATCTGGTGATGCCTTTTGTAGTGGATGAAAGACTGGGGACTGCATTGTTTGCTGCTGCACAACCCCACGTGTACTGTAGTGGGTTTAGTGGGTTTGAGCTCTACCCTACTGCTTTCTTGCCAGCCTATCTAATTTATCAGACAATCTTATTTATATGTGAGTATAATGAAATCAGTCCTACAGCTAAGCTAGTCAAGATTCTAAGATGCCTGGCACACACTAAGGAAGGAGAAAGAGAGAGACTTATAGGTTTCGGGGCCTCCCAGTTTTATTTGCTGATCTGCAGTTCCTTGTCTTGATACCAAGAGCTGGCAATTCAGAGTCTCAAACACAGAGAGAAAACCCTCCCTGGGAGCCAGAGAGCAGGCCTAATGTTCTTACTTCATTTCCCTGGAAAGTCTCTCCCTTCTCTAAGATATTATTTTTCCATCTTATGATCTACATTGCTTGGTTGGGTCTCTCAGACCTTACTATTTTATTTCTCTTTTATTATGGCTGTTCCCTTGGACCACATATGGACCAGGGGTAAAGCGGCTGAATAGGTGGTGAAGGAGAAGCAGCCCATCCCATCTACACTCCACAAGGCTCTGCAGAATCCCTACACTAAAACTGGGGGTGTCTAAACCAACAGAAGCTTCTAGGTGGGGACTGTCAAGATACTTAGAGCTTCAAGTGAACCTACAAAGAACATTCTAGAACTACCTGCACTGAAATCATCTTGCTAAAAAAAAAAAATAATGCTTGCTTAGCTTAAGTAAAGGCCAGCCAAAGTGTAAATCTGGGGATGGGCTGTAGATTTTATGTGCTCCTGCTGTGGTTCTAAAGTACACTGAAATCTGAAGTCAGCTCTATTACTTAGTCTTTGGGCTTGCCAGTTTTGTGATCCAAAACTATGTCTTGTGCTTCCAGGAATGTAGTGAGTGTGTTGCTCCAGCTCAGCTGTTAACTTGATTTGTGACTTCTTGGAGAGTCAGACTGATAGAGCTCATTTAACTCAGTTACTGCAATCCCTAAAACAGGCCAGCAGGGGTCGCTGGAGGCCCACATATTTTGTACGTGCTGGTTTGCTCTCTAGTCTTAAAAATCCTTATTACATTTTCTTTTTAGAGTGGGAGGAAAAAAAAACAACCTTTAATACTTGTTATATTATAAAACTAGAAGAAAAATCCAAATGTTTCTAGAAAAATTAAATTTCTTATCTCTTTAATAGAATCAACAAATATCTTACTTTCCCCCAACCCCAAGCCTTACGACAGAGGGACATAGTTTATAGACAAGGCAGTCACTCTTCTGTGATATCATTTCTTAGGCAGCAGGAGGATGTAACTCACAAGTTCATCTTGTTGGACAATATAGCACCATGCATACCTCTGAGGCGGCAGCTACACTGACCCGTCATTTAAATCCCAGAATGTGTTTGTCTTTTCTAGGTGTGGAGGAATTTGTTAAATATTCAGTTATTGATAGGTTGTTTCTACAACCTAAAGGTGTGTGTTTCTGTAGGAGAAATTATAAGACACAGATATGCAAAAGAGAAGTGATGTCGCTTTACCGACACAACTGATATAAATGTTTAATTGCAGACTTTCCCTCTCCAAGACACACAAATACAAATAGATACATACAGACACCCACACTGACAACCACAGAAAGACAGACAGACACATGGATGAGCGTGTGCGGGCACTCACACACAGAGACAAAGAGAGACAGAGAGAGAGAGAGAGAGACAGAGATACACATACATAGAGAAACACACAGATACATAGATACCCACAGACACAACACAACAGTATGTTAACATATCTTTTCTTATTGTAAACACACACACACTCTCTCACTCTCTTCACCCTGTGCATCAATGTACCTGTTCACACTGTGCACACTCCTTTCTTGCCTGTTCTTTCATAAGCAAGCTGTCAACAACCTCACGGGTGTGGACAAGAATCCCCGTCCTCAGTTAAAATGGCGGCAAGGCGTTCCCTCTCATGGACGAGCTACCAGGTTCTCAATGAATCCTTTGGTGAAAAAACGCAAATGCCTCGAAGGACCTAGGGGTGTGTGGCTGTCCTGAGATGGCCTCTCTCTGGCGTCAGCCTTCATGCCTGGCCTTAGTTACCTCAAATCTGTTAGAGCATTTTAGACATTTGACCACTCTGTGATAGCACCTACATCGGGGCAGGCCTGTACATTTTTATCCCAGTTGACTTTCTAAAAATCTCCTTTCTTTTACTTATGTTTCTAGAAAACTGTTCAGTTTTTCTCCGCTTCTGCCTGAGAAGGAGGAGGCAGAACAGCCAACTACACTGGCAGGCCGTTTCACTTGCACGTTCCAAGCTACCAGCGAATGTGTCTCTAGCAAGCAGCTTTCTTGCTCAGGACAGAGCCCCTCAGAGTTTTCTAGTCTCCTCCAGGGTTCCTGTGGATGATGGGAGAGGGTGAAGGGTTGGGAGGAGACTGTATTTGAGACCGAAGACTCCAGCGAAGCGTCAGCCACTGGTCAGCCTCACACTTTGCCTTCTGTTGCAGCCTGCGCCACCGAGTGCAGGGCGCACACCGCAGCCCTGCAAGGAACCTCTCCACACTGGGTGCAGAACCCTCCACAATTCATTCAGTCCTTGGCACATTTCTTCTAGCCTAGTGCTCTGGGATGTGCCGTTTCTCTGCTGCAGCTGTATTGTAGGGAAACCTACAAAAGAGTTTAGTTGCCTGGCTGCTGGTGATGAGAGTTTAGTTGCCTGGATGCCTACCTATTTCACAGAGGAAGAAACCCGGGCCCACAGGGCAGCACTCTGCCCGTGGCTGTGCACAACTGAGGGAGCACCAGGATCCCCACACATCTGCGGATTTGTGGGCATGACAGAGCAGCTCTGCCCTTGGGCAGCTGGAGGGAAAGGCTGCAAGAAGCTAGTGCACGTTACTGGGTGGTAAACTTATTAGCACAAACACGGCCATCTGAGATGCATGCATTTTCTGAAATCCAGGCTGACACGTATAACTTGCCTGTAATCTAGAACTATGCTGTAAGTGATGCTCCAGATGTCTGAGGCTAGACCACAAGAAGCCTGTTTGCTTCTGTTCTGGTCCCTTGAGTTGCTGTTCTTTGGGCTTTCTTTCTTGGAATGCACCCTCTTAAAACCCTGTCACCAGTGTGTAACAAGCTGAGCCCAAGTCAGGGGCTCTAGGCTTCTAGTTGTCAGTGTCCAAGCATCAGCCATCTTAGTGAATTCGCTCCCCAAGCTGTTCGAGTCTTCTCCACAGAGGCCCGGACATCAGGGCTGTGCAGTCATTGTTCCTTCACACATACAACAAAGGAAGAGACTCAGGAAAGAATAGGAAGCAAAACCCAATAGGCCAGCCTGACATCTCATCACTTAGAGGACACGGAACCCCATGACTCACCTCTGGCACTGCTGAGACGTGGCCATGACCTAGGAAGGGAAAGAGAACAAACATGAGTGTTAGCCACTGAATTCATCTCCATCTCCAAAGGAGTGGCCACTCCCGAGATGCATTTCACTGCTCATGCTGTGAAAATCGCACACATATGTCCACAGCTGTGCAGGCACATAGGCGTGAGTGTCCACACTTATGTAGCTGCACATGTGTATGGATACGTGTGTGTGTGTGTGTGTGTGTGTGTGTGTACACATGTATGTGGTTGTCAAAAGACAGCTAAGCTTATTCTGCAGGCGTGGTTTACCTTGCCATTTTGAAACAGGGTCTGCCATCGGGCTGCAGCTCACAGAGTAGGCTGGGCTGGCCAGTGAGCCCCAGGGGTCATCTGACTCCCATCTCCCCAGGGCTGGAGTGTGGACATGTACTTCCTGCTTTTAAAAAAATATTTATTTACGTTTATTTTTATTTGGAATGGAACCCAGGTCCCTATGCTTGCAAGGTAATTATTTTACCCCCTGAGCAGTCACCCACCCAGCTCCAGTCTGTGTAATACAAACACGGAGCAAGTCCTTCGTGTTTGTATTACTGTAGACTTGAAGTGATACTTTGTTAGAGGCAATATAGAAAATAGAAAAAAATCAAGGAAAAAAAAATCAATGCACACTTAAAATAGAAGCAATGTATTATTGTGCACACGTATGAATGATACGTGTGTGTTGTGTGTATGTGTGTGTGTGTGTGGTTGTTCCTGTGCATGTGTGGGGATCACAGGACAACTCTTTGGATTTGGTTATCTGCTTTCACCCTGTTGAAGCAAGGCATCTCATTTCTATGCTATATGTTCCAGGATGGCCTGTCCTATGAGTTGCTAGGCAATTGCCTCTGTCTCCACCTGTCATCTTCAATTACAGATGCCTGTCACAGCACTGTTTTTTTTTTTTTTTTTTTTTTTTTTTGTGTGTTTCAGGCACAGAACCCAAGTCATGAGGATCTCATCAGTGCTCTGCCCATATGCACATATGCACACATAAAGCCATACAGGTGTGTAAATGACTTGCTAGAAAAATGTGTAGGATGTCTCTGTGACATTGTATTATGCAGTGTTATCGAAGAACCCATTTGTTGGTTGTGTGGCACTTTTGGAGAGGACTTAGGTTCTTGCTAATTTTGACTACTGTCAACAAAACTGTGAAACTCACCCATCTTGCACTTCAGCCTCATTTCTGGATATCTCCATGGACAGACAGTACTGTAGACCAAGGAAATGACCGGAGAGAGTGGGCATCCTCAGCCCCTAGCTGCTCATTTCTTAGGTGCTTTCTGGATGGTTGTGTATTAACTTACATATTAACTTCCATCCTTATCCACTGACTGTGAAGCGGCCACCCACTGTGTCTCAACACCAGGATCCACATTCCCACTCGGTCCTTACTGCTCCTCTTTCATTTCTGAGACGACTATGGAGTTTGAATAATTACATGCATTTCCTCTTTGGTAAATCACTCTCGCATGTCTTTGTTCATTTTCTGATGACAAGTTCTTGGCAGAGTAACAAATGTCACCCTTGGACAATGTCCTCTTGGGTGCAAGTTTTCCTTAGATTTGAGCTGTGGTCTGAAAAGCCCCAGGGCAATGAAAAGCTCCAAAGGCTGCTGCTTCCATGAGCTGACTTGTTTGTACCTGTAATAACCCCTGGCTCTCTCTGCACACCTTTCCTCTGAGGCTCTCTAAGTGCGTCACAGCTGCAATTAATTGAGCATCGCAACACACGTTGCTTGTAAATATTTATGAGTCCTATCTTGTGGCTGGGTCGTTGGGCACCCAATAGTTAAGCAATGAAGCACCAGTAACCAGGAGACCAGAGCTCAGGAGCCCAGATTACTGCCTGACCTGATGTCGTTCCTTCCCTAACTCCATCTTCCAAACGACCTTGGGGAGCTGGTGCCCTCAAGAAACAGGGCACAGGGATGCGTGTAAATAGCCCGATCCAGAAAACCACTGTGAGACGAGGAAGTTGTCTCAAGCTCTGCTGCTGCTCCAGCCTCGCTGTCTCCCTGCCATGCCTGTGGGATGCGGTGAGCCTCGCTTGGGAGCCACCGTGCATATGCAGCCCGGAGTCCTGTGGTTAGCAGTTGGTGCCCTTTCAAGTTTCCCGAGCTTCAGCAGAAACGGACAGTAAATTAGCTAGAGAGAGGCAAATCATGCCTGTGGGGCCAGTGAACACTCTCCTGTACACCCTAGACTCACGGCCCCTTACCTGGACACCCTGCCTTCCATGAGGCCTTCCAAGGCTCCCAGACCTGCCTGTGCAAGAAAAGGAGTTTACGTGACGGTGTCCAGCGAGTTCATTAGGAATGGGGCACTTATCCCGGGGCCTCCAGGCTAGGATTCCAAAGAGGGCAGGAGGTAGATGTGAACCCGGGACTTCTGAGCAAGGTCTTTAGCAGGTCCTAGGGAGGACCCTGACTTCACACCCACTGTCTTCTAACTTTGGCCTCCCCAGGAATGTTAGAATGGAACACTGTTGATCTTGTGGTCAGATTTGCTAGGGTTTTAGACAGGAAAGCTGAGGCCTGAGCAGAGGTAGATGGCCTTCCTTTCCTCAGACTCTGGGCTGAGGCCCTTTGAAACACAATAAATGGAACAAGAGATTAAAAAAAAAAAAGCAATAACCCCCCAAAAAGCACTGAGCACTTCTGTTTGGGCACTAACTTGACTCATTTCTTTCTTTTTTTTAAATTTAATTTTATTTATTTATTTTTAATTTTTTTATTAATTACACTTTATTCATTTTGTATCCCCCATAAGCCCCTTCCTCCTCCCGTCCCGATCCCACCCTTCCTCCCCTTTCTGCATGCATGCCCCTCCCCAAGTCCACTGATAGGGGAGGTCTTCCTCTCCTTCTTTCTGATCTTAGACTATCAGCTCTCATCAGAAGTGGCTGCATTGTCATCTTCTGTGGCCTGAAGAGTTTAACATACTTATATTCATCTTTGCAATTTCTTTTTCTCCCAGTGAAATATTTTTGTTTTATATTTATGGATTGATCAATTAACTTTTTTTTTGTTTGTTGTTGTTTGTTTGTTTGTTTGTCTGACACAAGGTCTCTCTCTGTGGCCCAGGCTGGCCTTGCTTTGGACTCTCCACAATCCTCCTATTTCAGCACCCGAGTGCTGGCATTACAAATAGGTAACAGGCCAGCTCCTACTGTTACTTTTGACTTTCGAAAGCCATAGGTCATATGCATAGATGCTGTGAGGAAAACAGATGCTATCCAGCATTGCTGTTCTGATGACACCGAGTGGAGGGCTGCTGCCAGGGGTGGGAGGACGATGTGGCATCCATACCGTGGTTTGGTTTTTACAAGAGAACAGGTCTTAGAGATGGTGCTGTGTGCACAGCTTGTATGTTTGAGAGCTGATCACATGTTATATGTTTCTATGTTATACACAAATAGTAATACACAGAGGGCTGAGAAAGTGTTTGGAGCCAATAGAAACCTGTAGGTTTCTGGCATAGGTTTAGGCCAATGGGATTTCTCTCTTCTGTTCTGCAGATGTAACTAAAACTTAACCCGCCTAGAGTGGCATAAGAAGCTATTGCTGGCATCAGGTTTCCACTTGGAGTTCCTTGTTACTCACAAGCCTAGAGCAGCGACACAGCTTGCAGAGGGCTGTGCATCTGGAAGCTTCCTCCCCATTGCCAAGGCTGTCTTCGCGGGGCTCTCTCTGGGTGGGGCTGCGACAAGATGGTTGGGTATTCATATGTCATGTCCTTGGGGATTCTGCACCCTGGGGGCTCTCTGTTTGTCAATGCAAGAGGAAGCCTCAGCAAAACAGGGAAGGGGGCTATTATTCCAGCTGAGCCTGCTGCTATGATCTATAGAGCTGGAGAAATGGGTTGGGGTTTGGGGGTGGGGAGGCTGGCACTGTTGCCTGAGATGGGAAGAAGACGGAGTCTGGTAACTGTGGGTTTGTCTGGATGGAGTGTGGACATCATCCTGACACTAGCAGCTGCCGAGCTCTCTGTAAAGGCTCCCGTGTTAATGCTCTTTGCAGCCTGACAGCCCATGGTGACAAATGAAAGATGCCGCTAGCTGACTTCATGGGGATTTGATGTACTCTGCCTTGTGCTCCAGAGAGGCCAGCATGTTAGCAAGCTGCCCCTTGCCAGGGGATCACAAGATGCATTCTGGCTTCCTTTTGTCAACAGCATCAATAACATAGCCATGTGCAAATGGGCCACAGCTGGAAAGAGCACAAGGCTGGCAGCATCCTCTGCTCTCACACTCTGGCTCCACTCCACATCTGGGCCTGAAGGAAGCAGGTTTCCCTTCCTCTTCATTTCCTGAGTGTGTGGCAGGTGTCATCACTGTAGCAGGCAACTTCACGAACTATAGGATGATCAAGGTTGGCCCTCCCAAGTCTGTGATTTTCTGAAAATGTAAGCTTATTACAAATCAATTTTAAATTCGGAATTATTTTTAATTTTTAATTCTTTTAAATAATTTAATGCATTTAATGAGCTTTAATTTTTAAAGGATATGAAAACAAACCTGCCCCTCCCCCACCTCTCTTGCTGCCTGGCACGCTGGATGTGAGGGTGCAGACAGTGTTCCTGTGTCCCTCCTATCCATCGCAATACAGCATAGACAATGTGTTATCTGGGTCCCATAGAGATGGGACTCAGCCCTGTCTCCAGGGTTGAGCTCCTGGAATAGAGACTAATAACTCATTGCCCCCTGGAATTTGGCAGCAAACCCTGGGGGAAATGATCCATGCGATCTTACATCATCAGCCTCTTCATCACCCAGGCTTCCAAGAGCGACTACTTTTAACTTTACATCTTATTTAAGCATTATTCACCACGTTGGAAGGTTACTCCAGAATAAAATTCTGTAGCTTTTGAAAGACAACTGATGTATTTAGAAGTTACTGAACACGTTTTCGATACAAAGAGAAGTGAAAGAGAATACACAGTCCTGTCCCTCTTGATTTGAGTGTCTGCATTCGTAGCTGAGCATGTTCTGAAA